GGTAGTGGGTGGCAACGGAGAAAGCAGAGGAGAGAGAAAGGAGGAGGCAACGAGAAAAAAGAAGCCGCAGAAGAGAAACAAAAGGGAGATGAATTTTTAAGCATGCAACTAATAAAATTCTTACCACATCAAAACAAAATCAATAAGCAAGTCTTGTATGGATGCGATCCATTTTGAACACAGCTATTGGTAGTCTTAGAGGAAAAGAGAAAGCAGAGAGTGAGAGTACTTTTATATTGATTATTAGCATGCCATGTCATGAGAGTTTTATAACAACAATATCAAGTCTTACTCAATCAGTCTAGACACAAATCATAGCCTAAGGGGACAGCCTGAAGGAAGAGTCACAGAAATAGCTGCTGACATGGAAGCGGGCTTCGAAAATGAGATAACTACAATAAAATGAGCAAAACTATCGTAATAAATACATAACAGAAGTAGTACCATACTTTTCTGGGGATTTCAAAGAATACAGAGGCAAAACTAAGAGCTAAACGGCCAAAAAATAGACTGGCAGTAATGGAGGACAAAGAGAAGGAAGCCATTTGCAGCTGGATTAATTTGGAACTGAACTGCGCATGCGCAGTGGGCGTGGCATTACTAGATTAATTATTACATTATTATTATGAGTGTAATTATTACACATTGATGGTGGGTATTTTCCACCAAAGGGGGGAATATAACACCAGGGGGTTTCACCCACATTGGTAGAAAACCAAAAAGTGGGTACCTTCCACAGATATGGTGGGTATAACCCACCATTATTTTTGCAGTGTATACACAAGTAGAATAACTATGTGCTACATTTAGTCTACTATGGAATGCAATTATTTGGAATGTGTTTTGAAAAATGGGGTCCTGTACAGTCCCTTTTGAGAGACTGTCCTCTGGTTCAAAAAAATCCATCAAATATGGTTTTTCAATTATAATGCAACGTTAAATTTAATTTCAGGTCTATTCAAAATTGGTCTTAGAAACTAAAGTGTATTGATGCTGATCATGCAATTGCCTATAGTGTCCATATTATTTTCTTACTGACCATTCATGCTAGAAGTTGATT